TCAGCAGAGCAGCACGGAAGTAAAGAACGAGAGAACCCATGAGGGTGTGTTCGTCAGTGTCTAGACAAAATAACGGCCAAGCCAGTGAAAGGCCTGGAACCAACGGAAACATCTCACGAGATTTCTGGTGTGATTTTCAGCAAGGTAGTGAGGGGGGCTCATTGACATGAATGATTATTAAAATATAATGAAATGAGGGGCGCCTGGGTGGCTCAGTCATCAAGCGTCTGCCTCCAGCTCAGAACATGATCCCAGGATCCTGGGATCGAGCCCCACATTGGGCTTCCTGCTCAGCAGGGGGTCTGCTTCTCCCTCTCCCACCCCCCTGCTGTGTTCCCTCTCTCGCTGTCTCTGCCAATATAAATAAATAAAATCTTAAAAAGAATAAAATACAAAGAATGTAGGTCTGAGGTGAGGACAGTCAGGGAAGAAAGTGCGACTACAGAATCTCGAGGACATGAGGAACTGGATGAGAAAGTAAAATCCACGTTAAGTAAAGCTTGCTCAGATTGTACTATTAGTTGAGAAAAATGGACATGCCTCACCTTCCTCTCAACTTTTAAGTTCCATGAGAGCCAGAGACTGTGTGTTTATACCCTAGTCATGGCATTTAAAAAAAAAACAAAACACACAAAACTTGGGGCACCTGGGTGGCTCAGTCCATTAAGCCTCTAACTTTGGCTCAGGTCATGATCTCAGGGTCTGGGATGGAGCCCTGTGTCAGGCTCCTTGCTCAGGGGGGAGTCTGCTTCCGCCTCTGCCCCTCCCCGCTCTCGTGCTCACTCTCTCTCTCTCTCAAATAAAATCTTAAAAAAAAAAAAAAATCCCACTTCAGAACAAAAGCACCATCATGACACGGTGGTGTTGAAGCAACTTGCCCAAGGTCACCCAGCTAATCAGTGGTGATGCTAGTGTGGGGGGTCAGGCAGAGAGACCCCGGAGGTGGTGCTTCCGCTTGCATTTGCGGAATTGTACTTATTGAAGAAAATCCCACTGAAGAAGGGGCTGACCAGAGAGACAGAGCAGGGAGGGTGTGAAAGCACAGACAGCACCCAGGAGAGTCATAAAATAGGAAAAGACTCCTCTGCAGGCACCAGAAGGTTAGACCATGACAAGTGACACTGGCATGCATGAGAAACTTAAAATCCCACCTAGGACTTGGGTGGGTGTAGGATGTAGGGCGGGAGGGAGAGACCGGCAAAGGATGCACAGCAGGGGGGCTCCGGCTCACCTGGGGCTGTGGGGGCAGCCTGGCAGTCACCACTGCATGTCCTCTGTGGCGCCCTCCCGGGGCAAGCCCGGGAACCTGGAGGACTAAGAAGGAAAGACGCTCTGGATGAGATGGACCCTGGCACCCAGTCTCCCTGGCCTGTGGATTCCAAGCTCAAAAACTGGGCCAGGAAATTCCCCAGAAAATTTATACACAATGTGCTCCTTTCCCCAGTGCCTGGTCCTGCCAACTCCAGGCCTAGAGCCTAGAGAGGCATGGTGTGCTGCTGCAGAGATGCAGGCAGGCTCCTCGGGAGGAACTGTGACAGGAAAGCAACATCAAAAGAAAACAAAGCTTTCCATTTGATGATCTTTAGTCTTGAATTTTGTCGAAAGAATGGATAAGATTTTTGGTGAAGTAACTCTTTAGTAGCTTTTAGGGTGTTTCTGCTTTGGTTTTAAAAAACTAAGAGTCAGATGAGGCTAGACCTAGAAATAAGAAAATGAAGGCTGTTTATATGGAACTTGCTCAAATCTGAGAGAAGTAAAGGGTCACTTCTGGTTTTCTTGGAAGAGCTGAACTTTGCAAGGGGCGGGAAACAAATTAGGGCAGAACCTCTGTGGAGAAAGACTGCACGTTGGTTGGTGTGTCCCAGTGCTGTGTGTCTTGGGAATATGCCCTCATGTGCACAGCATATGGGGAACACCTGGGAACATATGGTGCTTTCCCGTGGAGTACTTCTCACCCTGTCCAAGTTACAGACCAAGGGTCAAGAAGATTTATAATCTGACTTGCAGCATTCCTACAATGTCTGGGATATTATGGCGGGCTTTACATTTCTTGCTTTATATTCCTCACTCACTAATAACTAAAATATCATTGCTTTCTTTGTCATTTTCCCTTTTAATGTAAGCTCCAGTGGAGCAAGAGATCTGTCTTACTGACAGCTCTGTCCCTGGTGCCAGAACACTGGCTACCACATAGGGCATCTCCACAAACTCATGTTAAATAAATGGAGGTCACGTTATTAAAAAAATCAACTCTTTCCAAATACCAATTTTAATAGTCTTATTTACTAGGTCCAGGTTGGTTAGGAAAGCTTCCCACCATTGTTTGAAATTTCCCTGTCGTCTCAGTCTCAAAGTAAAGTAGATCTGTGTTGAGCATATAAAGCACCTGTCAACAGAGCTGTCTTTTAAATGACGCTTGATGAAGGCTGTCGAATTCAAGCTGCCCAGGAGACAACACTCACCTCTGTCTGCTGAGGCCTGGGATCCCAGAGATTCGCGCTTGAGCAGAGCCTTCTTTGGCTGCAACTCGGTACTCCAGGGCCTCTGGGCTGGTGTCAGCACCGCCATCTTGCAATAGAGCAGCTGCGTCTGGTCACCACCGAGGACCTGGAAGTTTCACTTTACTGATTCATCAGAACTTCTAGTATGCTTTCTCTGTGCTAGTACTTTCTGTTTTCTAGGCACTAGTTCTAAGAACCTTATGAATCATGATTCACTGAATGCAGGTAGCAACAGCTCTATGAGCAAGGAACTACTATTATCTGTGCTTTTGTGCTGAGGTAATGGAGGCCCAGAGTTGAAGCAACTTGCCCAAGGTCACCCAGCTAATCAGTGGTGATGCTAGTGTGGGGGGTCAGGCAGAGAGACCCCAGAGCCCATGCTCTTAGCCACTATTGTATGCTCCCTCGTTATATACATTGTGCTCTTTGGGAACTAGTGTTAAGTTCTCAGAATACTTTTTTTTTTTTTTTTTTTTTTTAACTGAAAAGTAAAAATAATAATTTCTAGCTTACGAGGTTTGGAGGACTAGCAAATAGGATGACAGCATATGAAATAACCTAACACAGGGCCAAGGATATTGTATGCCCTCATTAAACAAGTTTCTTTCTGGGCTTTTGTAATTAGTTTTGAATTCACTTTCATGATCATAAGCTTATATACAGCTTAGAATTTCCACATTTTCTATATAAAACGCACAACCTGAAACCAAGAGAATTGAAATGAGTTTTCACTGTTACAGGGCTTGGGGACACTATGGCCAATTCAAAAGCTTGGTCTCAGGGCGCCTGGGTGGCTCAGTGGGTTAAGCCACTGCCTTCAGCTTGGGTCATGATCTCAGGATCCTGGGATGGAGCCCAGCATGGGGCTCTCCTCTCGGCAGGAAGCCTGCTTCCCCTCCTCTCTCTGCCTGTCTCCCTGCCTACTTGTGATCTGTGTCAAATAAATAAAATCTTAAAAAAAAAAAACCAACGAAAAAAACTTGGTCTCCTGGTCACCAGTTACAATGTCCCCTGGAAAGCACAAAAATACAGGATAATGCACATGGAAAATGGTCCACAAAAAGCAGGAAGATGCAGATAAAAATGAACCCAGAAGTTCCTAACTTGTGGTTCGTGGACTCTCTTCCAAGTGTTCTATGAATGTAAACAGTAAATATATTTCTATTTTTACTAGTGTCTAAGCAAAATTTAGCAATTCCTTCAATTATGAATGGAAGCAACAAATGAAAGTGATATAAGCCTAAGTAGGCAAAACCAGGCACACGCTGTCAAAGGCATTCAGCACCACTATGAAACTCTACCAGTTACTGGGCCTGACTGGGCCTTACTATTTAGTGCATTAATTTTTAAAAAGCACATATATCACTAATTTGTTTCATGCTCTGTTAACTGTGTTTCAATATAACTGAGTTCTTCTGTAATCCTTCATGTTCTTAAAAATACCAGTACTCCGAAGGGGCAAAGAGGTTTATGATACGAAAAGAGACTGAGAACTTCTGGGTCTTCCAGAAACGCCCCTCACTCCGATGTTGAGACTTCAGGAAGAGACAGAGCTCGTCTCAGACACTAAGCCCTTCGCCTCTACCTGCGGCCCTGGCTCCTCCAGATGCCTCTGCAAATACTCCAGGAGCACCACCACCTCGTCCCCGCTCTCCGGCTGCTGCTCCCGCACCCAGGCCTGCAGCTCCTCGGGCAGGATGGTCAGGAACTGCTCCAGCACCAGCAGCTCCACGATCTGCTCCTTGCTGTGCGTCTCGGGCCGCAGCCAGCGTCGGCAGAGCTCCCGCAGCCGGCTCAGTGCCTCGCGGGGCCCCTCGGCCTCGGGGTAGCGGAAGCCCCGGAAGCGCCGGCGCGAGCGCTCGGGGCCGAGGGCCGGGCTGCCCGGCGCGCCCGCCTCTACCGCAGGCGCGGGAACGTCGTCCTCCTCCACCTTCACGGTCAGGACCCCCGTCAGAAGCCCCGGCCGCTCCTCTGCCGCGTCGGCGTGCAAGGCCGCGCTGGACTTCGACTCTCTGGCCATCTCAGGCCTCCCGCCCGCGAGCCGATCTACTGCCTCGGCAGTTCCTCGAGTGCGGAGTCGCTGCCGGCCGGCACGACTGCGGGTCACACGGGGCACTGCTTCCCCGCGGCCACACCCTGGCCGCGCCCCCTCCGCTGCTGCCCGGAGTCCGGTAGCCAGTCTCCCCGCGGCGGAGTGGAACCGACTGGCGCTCCTGCCGCCGGAGCGCGCGCAGCCCAGGCACCGGAAACTGATCCCCGGAAGCGGGGGGGCGTGGACCCGCGAGCACGCGCCTCTCCGCGGCCGCCCCGAGTTTAACCCTTCAGCTGCCGGGCTCGCGCCGGGAAGGCTGCGCTCAGGGCCGGAAGGAAGGAGGGACGGCGAGCTCTGTAGAGGAAGTAAGACCTCACCTTGAAATCCGGGGGCTCTCATGTCCACGTGGCTGTAGAGCTGGCACGCACCGGACACCGGACACCCGGCTTCCTCGGTGTTCTTAGATCTCCGGCAGCAGGGCCTGCAAAAATAGCCGGAGCCATCACAGGCGCCTACTTGGAAGAGAGCCCTGGCTTCCCCTGGTCCTTGCCTCCCTCCAGCTGTCACTCTCCATCCTGCCCTTTAAGGCCAAAAGGCTTGGAAGAAAGCCCTCCCTACCCCGTCTCTTGTCCGCTGCCATTCATCCTTACCACATTGTCGGCAGCAAAAGGCCAGCAAAGCCATTCCGACCCCTCCAGCCAATTAACTGTAAGTCCCCAACGTCCCCCACCCATTACCACTTCCCATTTTCCAGGGCCTCCTTTCAGCAGTCAGGCTTATGCTGCCCCCTACTTCTGGGAACTTGGTATCCCTGGCTGCTCGACCCTACTCTCTCATGCTTGCTTTCTTCTTGTTTCTTCCCAGTTCCCATTCAGAGTCTAGCTCAGTGAGTAGATCCACAGACTCTGAAGCCAAGTTACCTGGGCTCATAATTCTGGCTTTATTTACCACTGACTAGCTGGGTGACCTCGGTTAACTACATAACCTCTTTGTGCCTGACTTGCCCAGTCTTAACTGGGGGTAGTAATAGTAGGTAAGGATGTTGCAAGCAGTGAGGTTTTGTGTGTGTAAGGTTCTTAGAATATTGGCAGACCTACAGTAAGCTAGGGCTTCACTAAAATGGAAGGAAACCCTGAGATTCCTTTGATCCAGAGGGGACAAGGCTTAAGCCAGAAGTCAAAGCAGTTATTTCGCTGGACTGAGATGTCGGTAAGTCCCCTTTCTACTCAGTGGAATGCAAGTTTGGTAGAAGTTTATAAAGTGGAAAAATACCATGCTGGTACCTTCCTAAGTTTTTATTCCTCAATCTGTCCCTCTGCAGTTCAAAGGGTAGCAAGGAAGGGATAGAACTTAAGAAAATGAGAGGTCCCAAAGGCTGTTACAAATGAGAACTACTAGAAAATATTTTTCTCCTGATGAGCTGCCACAAGAGGTACAAGGCACTGCCATGAGGCATTGTTGGCGAAATAAGTGAACCTGAATCAAATTATGTTTCTAGATCCTAATAGTTGCATATAGGTGAGATTCAGAAGCAATTGTTAGCATTTTTCACACTGCTCAGCATATTAGAATTACTGGGGAGCATTAAAACATCCTGATCTTGGTTGCAACCAAGATCAACTAAATCAGAATGTTAAAGGATGGAACTCAGGTGGGCATAACCATAAAATTTTCCTAGGTGGGGCACCTGGGTGGCTCAGTCATTAAGGATCATGATCCCAGGGTCCAGGGATCCAGGCCCAGGTCGGGCTCCCTGCTCAGCGGGAAGCCTGCTTCTCTCTCTCCCACTCCCGCTGCTTGTGTTCCATCTCTCACTGTCTTTCTCTGTCAAGTAAATAAATTTTAAAAATAAAAATTTCCTAGGTAAGTGCAATAGGCAGGTACGTTTGAGAGTTAATGAGTTCAATGATACTTAAAAGAAGCAATAAATAAAATTCAGAATGTGGGGTATTCCACAGGACAGAAGAACCTGGATCCTCAACAGATAAAGAGCATTTTTTTGAAAAGGCAGCTGAGAAAACAGAATAAGATTAGATTAAAGGAGACCAAATAGATATACCTGCCAACACAATGTATCCATTATTCAGAATCTGATCAGAACAAAACAACTGTTAAAAAATACATTTGGGTCAACTGGGAAAACTAAAACATAATGACATTAAGGAGTTACTATCAATTTAGTTGTCATAATGATATTTTGGTTATGTGAAGGAAAAAAGTCCTCATTTGTTAGAAATTTATAATGAGGTACTTGCAGGTGTAATATCTGGTATAATATCTGGATTTGCTTTAAAATACTCAGAACTAGGGGCTCCTGGGTGACTTAGTTGAGCCTCGGACTCTTGATCTCAGCTCAGGTCTTAAGGTCTCAGTTTGGGCCTTGTGTTGGGCTCCACAGTGGGCATGGAGCCTACCTAAAAAGAATGAAATACTCAGAACTAGAGAAAACACACAAAGAAAAGTACCACAATAGCTGTTGTTGAAGTTGGGCGAGAGGCATAGGAGTTCACTGTAATATTCTCTTTACACTTTTACATATTTGACGTTTTCCATAGAAATATGCTTTTTAATTGTACAAAGTCCTACCTTCTTTCTTGAATATTGAATAATTCAGTCCAAAAGCCTTTAAGTGGTGCCAAAGGAAACTGTTACAACATGAACTGTATATAGTTCCAAAACTATACAGTATTTTACCTAATTCTGTATCCTCTGTGTGAGACTATAGGTGATTCAACAGAATTTCTTTTATATGTTCCATCAGGAAAAACAGGATGTTTCTTTGTCTACACCTGTTGTTTACAGAGCTGCGAGTAGGGTGAGGTGAGAGAAGCATTTAGGTCACAGAATTTAAGACAGTGGATGTGTCCTTTAATTTGGGCCCTCAGTGTCTCTCTCGCCTCATCCTAGTCCCCGCTCTGTCCATTAAGCATTTTTTAATTTATCTCTCTGCCCCTTCCGGTGGTGAGGAAGTGGCATTGCTAGGAGTCTCCCTCATGTCTTCACCCTCTATTTCTAACTTCCATTACCAGTCTCTTTCCTAGAAACTACGTTTAAGCAAGGGTGTTGTTTCCCTTGCGAGAGTCCCTGGTTCATCATTCAGTCCGCTGTGTTTATTTGATTTCACACCAGATACAAAGTGGAGTTTGGGAGAAACCACAAAAGAAAAGTGTGATGCTTGGCCTTACGACGCCTAGAAATGTATGAGGGGGAAAGCAAAAGGCAATACCTAAAAACACAGAAAGTCACACTACAAAATAAGAATGCGCAGAGAAGAGGTTGAATATGGCTTTAAAACCACTGTGGGGTCGCCCTTCAACATCCCTCCATTGGGGCGCTGGCCCTGGCGCAGTCCTCCTGTCACAAAATCGTCAGAAATTGAAAATGCATTTACAATACTGCACTGCATGGACATTCACTGCAAAAACAAATAACCCCTCCGCCGCCTCCCCAGCGTGTTGGTGTAAAGGCCTGTCCCTCCCAGAGGAACTTCTTGTAAACCCCGGATGTAGGGGTGGGCCAGGTTAGGGTGAATTGAAATTCAATTGGCCACCTGTGTGTGGGCGGGGCTAAACCACTCCTATAAAGGTTGGTATGCGAGGCTGTCGGATGCAGGAGGAGAGCCATCGGAGGCAGAAGCAGCAGAGCAGTGGGTGCTGTCAGAGCTCTTGTAAGAGCCGTAAGCGCAGTCACAGCTGCTGTAAGAGCTGTGGGAGCTGTCAGAGCTCTTGTCAGAGCCGTGAGAGCCCTTGTCAGGGTTCTCTCAAGCCGTGAGAGCCGCCAGCGGCCCCGCTGCCAGCAGCCTCGCCACCACAGAGGAGCGGCCCCGCCGTGAGCGGCCTTGCCGCGAGGGGCCTCGCGGAAGCGGTGTCATTCTGGGGAGCGGCCTCATCCGGAGTGGCCTAGTCTGGGGTGTGGCCTCGTCTGGAGCGGTGGCCTCCTCTGGGGAGCAGCCTGGTTAGAGTGGCGTCATGGGGAGCAGAGTCTGTGTCATCGGGGTTGTTGTCCTTGTCATTGTCGCTGTTGTCATCGCCTCTTCATCGTCAGGAGCAGCCTTATTCTGGGAGCGGCTTCCTCCAGAGTGGCCTCTTTTTGGGAGCAGCCTTGTCCGGGGAGCGGCCCTGTCTGGGGAGTGGCCCTGTCTGGGGAGCGACCTCATCAGCAGCGGCCTCATCCTCGGGGTGGCCTCGTCTGGAGTGGCCTCTTTTTGGGAGCGGCTCTGACCAGGAAGAGGCCTTGTCCAGAGTGGCCTTCTTGGGAGTGACCTTGTTGGGGTCATCGTTGTCGTCGTCTCTTCGTAAGAGATGGCCCCCACCAGTCAGTTTGATTTTTTGATGCTTGGCGTGAAATAAAGCTTTGTTTGATTTTCGCTTTATAGCAGTCTCGTTCCTTTTCCCAGGTGGTGTTCCCAGCCTGGAGGCTTGGGCTCAGCAGCCCGCCTTCCCGCTGGCAGGTGCACCCCTGACGCCCCTGGGGCAGCCGTGGCCACTGTGTGAGCACCGCCTTGCCGAGTGCTCCCTAACCAACCCGCAGCCCCTACGGTCTGGCCGGTTCCTGGGCTTCAGCCCAGCCCGTCCCTGGGCCTGGGCACGACCACCGGGTGGGCATTCCTGGGGCTCTGGGAGCTGATGAGGTACTCAGAGGGCAGCAGAAGGCCTGTGCAGACTGGGGTGCACAGTTGTCAATAAATGCATTGAGACCTTTGCTGTCAACTCATAAAACCGTGGAATACCGGGGGGGCCGCACAGTTCAAACCCATGTTGTTCAAGGATCAGCTGTTCTTTTAGTCGCATTGCATCTGCCCGTATGAGGGGGATGCTAGGAAACAGGCTGCAGTCATAATTGAGGTGTTGGTGTGCTCTTCGCAGCATAAATTTAGGCGACCATGGGCATATCCGATAAGCTACCCCTTTTGAAGCGCCCCATAAAATGTCGTTCAGAGCACTGTGTGTAAACGCATACTGTCAGGCAGTGTAAGTCTCATTGTGAGTGCCTTTGTTGTCGCTTGCTGAGGAAAGGTCACTAAATACTTGTAAAGGCAGGAAGTATGAAGTAATTTGGAGGGATGTTTAATGCCAGCTTGTCCTCAGAGTTCTATATAATTTGCTTGTTAGCAATTTCCTAGTCATAAGTATAGATTGTGACACTTTTCATAATGTGATATGCTTTCTGATGAGATACTGCAAAAAGTATATTTCATCTGTGTAATCTGCCAAACAGAATTACCCTAAATCTAATCACGAGGAGAGGAAATTATCAGATGAATTCAATGTTGGACATTTTACAAAACATCATCCTGGACCCTGAAAAACTGTGTCAAATAATTTTTAAAAAATGGAAGTGGGGGGCACCTGGGTGGCTCAGTGGGTTGAGCCTCTGCCTTCAGCTCAGGTCTTGATCTCAGGGTCCTGGGATGGAGCCCCGCATCTGGCTCTCTGCTCAAAAGGGAGCCTGCTCCTCTCCACCTGCCCCCCTTCTCTGCCTACTTGTGATCTCTCTCTCTGTCAAATAAATAAATAAAATCTTTTTTTAAAAGTAGAAGTGGGAGTGTAGGGAGAGAAACCATTCTACATTAAACAGAACAAAGAGTAATCACAATCAAGTGCAATGCATGAAACTTAATTGGATTTTTAATCCCATTTTAAGGACATTATGGGAACAATTGGGGAATTTTAACATATCCTACATATTAGACACCGCCACCTAACATTTAATAATAATATTAAAATTTTTAAGAGGAAAAATGGCATTGTGATTGCGAAGGAGAATGTCCTTCTTAGACATTGATTACTGAAGTATTTAGGAATGAAGCTTCATAATTTCTAATTTTCCTTCAATTAAGTAAGAACCACAATCCTGACAATCAGTGAATCTAGGTAAAGGATATACAGGTGTTTAACTTTTCTGTAGGTTTGGAAGCTTTTAAAATAAAAATTTGGGGGGAAATTTATGGAAAACAATTTTGAGAAATTTTGAGAAAGATAGTAAAATATTACCTATAAGAGCAATTTCATTTTAGCTGAGCTTTCAACATCTGGTGATTTTCTTGATGATTAGAATGTATTTCCATTTAAAAACTACTTATTTCCTTTGATTTGTTTATTATTTGTGAGAGAGCACATGCGCATGTACAAGCGGGGCTAGGGGCAGAGGGAGAGGGAGAGAGAGAATCCTCAAGCAGATTCCCCACTGAGCATGGAACCTAATACAGG